CCGAGCTCGGCGGCGATGGGCAGCGCCATGGGGCAGAGGAAGTCCGGCACGACTGCGGCGAGCAGGGTGGTGGAGTAGACGGAGCGAAGGAGGGCGCGGATGTTGGGGAGGGAGCGGCGGGCGAGCTCCGCGAGCACTCTGCCCTCGTGGACGTTGGCGGGGAGGTCGTCCATCTGGACGGCGGGGAGCGCGGCGACGGCGACGGAGGCCGGGAGGCACGGGGTGAGCCGGTCTGCATCTACTGGGGCGGAGAGGTTGGTGAAGGTGACGATCGTGGCCGAGAAGCCGAGCTCCACGAGCCGCCGCGCCAGCTCGGCCATTGGAATGAGGTGGCCGGCGCCGGGGCTGGCCAGAAGCACGACGTGCGGCCGCGGCGGCGCTTTGGGTGGCGCCGAGGCTGAGGCGGGGGCGGAGGCGGAGCCAGCAGTGTTGGTGAACGACTCCATCCGCGGTGAGAGTGAGAGATTCTAGCTGCTTGTCCTGTATAGAGAACTCGGGCCATCACCAATCAGCAGCAGTGTATGTAGTTAATGCATGCTTTGATGCTACTCCATCAGTTGACAAAATTGCTCGTCCGTAGTACTTTGCACATGGATGGTTCAGAAAACAAAACAGTGGGCACCGCCTGCTCCACGAACTTCATGTCTATACATCTACGGATAATGATTAGACAGACCCCCTCTTCTAGCCGCTAAAACCTGCTCATTTCCGATTAGATGGTAAGTCCGATCGACTCCTTGACTTTTACTTGGAAAAAAGCTATGCATTGCAACGGAGGAAGAAAAAATGTCACACTCTGCTAACACAATAACCTTGACTCAAGATCTTAATAGGTCCACGCATGCAGGGAAGTGCAGCGTTGCACGCAGCGGCAGCTGCACGCAGCGCATCGACGGCTGGCACAGCGTCACGATTAGTAGCTACCATATGTGCTACTTGGAGTATAGAGGCCCGCTAGCGTGTGATATGTGCGTATTTTTGCGTGTTTGAAGTACCATGCACTGACAGGAAAGCTGACACACGGCTGCAGAGCGCTGTACGTGTGCAGGGCGTGAGGACGAAATAGTACCGTGGTACTGAGACACTGTATAAAGTAAACACTTATCGCCCTGGATGTATTCACACGGCCGGACAGTACTGATCGTTTGCACGTTCTCATTCAAACACGCACAAGCTTTTTCAAACACGCACAAGCATTGGTTGGCCAGTGCAGCTTCTCAGCACAAGTCCTAAGCAGTTTATGGTTGTGAGAAGCACGATTTTCCGAGGCATATATACCACCCCCCATCATCTGTCCGGTGTAGACGAATCATGGCGGCACAATTGCTTCTCAACGATGAACTGTTCTCCCTCTTTGGTTTACCCTGCATTTGTTTTCAAATCATAAAATTTGACAACTACTTCAGTTCCTTTGCACATAACAAAATCGCACAATCGCACCCAGCATAAAACTGAAAAAGAGAAAAAGGGACTCACGGCGCAGCCGCACACGATCTCCTACATGCATTTGGTCCCGTTGACATTCTGCCGGCTCACCTCCCATGAATACAAATTGTAGAATTCATAGGCCTCTGTCAGCGAGTCAAATACTGTGCCCATCGACGGGTTGACAACCACATCAGTCCCTCTATTGGCGAATCCTCGGATCGCAGCTTCAAGCGCCGGCACACGAACTACAGCCGCCCTCTCATCTGGTCCGCGGGGTACCCTTGGCCTGCAGTCGGATAGCACAGAATCGCAATTACGAAAACAAACCACCACAGAAAAACAAAATAAAAAGAAGGAAAACAATTTTTGTGACCACACTCCTGCTCTGAAAAAAGTGTGAATATACCACATCGAAATTCCTTTTTGCAGTTTTAAACTTATTTTCTTAAAAAAAAACCTGCCCCAACAATCATCATGTACCAAAAATCGTCCAGAGAATCCTTCTCCTGCAAGAGCAATAGTACTTGGTTGTAGCAATTCATGGGGTTCCCCTGAAAATAAATCAAGCGAGAACTACTTTGGTAGTGTGGCAGAGATTAGTTGTAGCTCTAAGCACCCATTCAAAAAAGAAAAAGAAAAAAGCGCTCGTCTCAGTCAACCAAGATGGAGGGGCTACCTGCGCTTCCAGCCAACGTGGATAGTGGTGCTCGCCGCCGCCGGAGCACTGGGGCTGAAGGACTGAACTGCGCTGCAGGAGTCGACGGTGCGCGCCCCGTCACCGGCGCCTGCCGACGCCACACCTCCGCCAGCCGACGCAACGTCGTGCAGGACTCGCCGGACAGGTCGACATCAGACAGGTCGCCAACCAGGCCGCGAGCCGGCGGGACCTGATCCACCGCTGGTGTCTCCGGCGACTTTACGCCTACGGCAGAGTCGGCCACGGCGGGACCGGCGGTGCCGGAAACGAACGGCACGCCGCGCACCACGGAATCGCTTGCCGCCCCATCGATCTGCAGTACCGGCTCCGCGGGGAGCAAACTCGTAAGCCATGAAGTAGATCAAGAACAAAGATAGGGCCGGAGTTTAAGAGAGTTTAACTCACCCAGAGGCAAACGCCGGTGCCGTCGCTGCCGGAGTCGCCATGAACAGATCCAGACGGACCTCCAGCCCCAAATCGAAAAAGAGAAGCGGTGCGAGACGCAGGACAGCCTCCAACTTGGTACGACAGTACCGGGCCCACGAGGTACCGCACTGCACGCTCTGTGCAAAAGGTCCCTTTTGCGTCAGGTGTGTGCCCCCCGCTGAGCCCACATGCGCGACGTGGACACGGGTATTCGGAAGTATGAACTGATGTATCTCTCGTTACCTAATTTCAACCATCTTTAACGCACGGATCACCTCGCCAGGACGACCGGCTGGATACCTGCGATCAGATGCCGCTGCGTGCAGCCTGTCCGCTCCACGCATGCATCCCATATATGTTGCCACTTGTCCTCCTTTACACCCTCGCTGATGGTGGTCTGAATGCTCACTCAATCATAACGCTTTTAAACGTTATCAATCCTAAGACGTCTCCTTCTCTTTCTTGGCATGAGACGACAAATCTACTTTTTTCTATAAGGTTTTGACGAGGCGTGCATCGGTTATATATGGTTTCTTTCGTCTCTAATGTGTTCATTTTCAATCCGGATCGGCACTGATATGAAAGAAAGAAGAATCATGCTCTATTCATTAAGATTGCATCCTAAATATCATTTCTTAATTGCTAACAGGTAAATAACATCATGTCCAGATTCTACACATTTTTCTAATCAATTTTCATATATAATATGTTAAATTTTGAAGTTAGGCTTAAAAGATGTGTATTTAAAAAAAGTTGATATGTACTACTAATTGATTAACCCAAATGTAAGGTGGTTTCCTGCAGAAGTAAAACTATGACTTAAAACTGGCCTGCGTGTTGATTATAAGGAGCATCGGGAGGTTATGCAAAAGTTAAAATCTGACTTAAAACTGAACCGGGAGTTCATTACCAAACACATTAGGGAGTTTTTTGTAAAATAACATAACAGGCCAAGAATAATTATTTCCTTTTTATTAGTAGGTACTCTGCTTTGGTGTCAATGATATGTACATTGGAGCAGAGCTAGGTTGTTTTTAAGCCTCTCCAAGTTCTTTCTACTCCACATCATTCAGTTTGCTTCTTCAAGAGTGTTGGTTTTAAGCCTCTCCAAGTTCTTTCAACTCCACATCATTCAGTTTGCTTCTTCAAGAGTGTGTTCAGTTGGGGAACCAACTGTAACGGAATGGAATGGTTCCATTCCAAAGGAACATGTTAGATTTCAATTCTGCTTTTGGTAGGTGCAAAAAAGTAGAATGGGTTGGTTCCATTCCTGTGTTTGGTTGGCGAGATGTAATTAGAAGTGGAATATCCACAGCATACTATCTGCTAGAAATCGATATCATCTTTAGGAGAAAGGAACGCCGTTACGATCAAATGCAAGTCAAGTTTGTCTCTATGAGCTAAGGCAAATATGGTGCTTCAAACGAATGTATGACACTAGTTCAGCACATGCCAACAGATTTCACTATGTCACTTATCAAAAGGCGTCACACATCAAAACACAGATCATGAGACCAAACAATTTTCTTTTGCAGGGGATGGGATCAAAGATGTTAATCCGCAATGTAATAAATGTTAGTACAATCGTACAGACGAGCTACGTCAGCATTTCCAAAGTGACATGCTGAAAACATGCCCTCTTTAGAAGAGGTTAGTAATAAACAGACCTCATAAAACTGTCCAGAAATGCAATTCCAATTAACATCTACTAGTGTATTAAAGATGTGGTGGAATATCTTAGAGAAAGAATACCATGACCTCTTCTATTACTGTTATCACACTAGATGAACTGAACTAGTCTTTGGCATTGTCAAGAGCATAAGAAACAAGCTCTGGTTCTAAGAAGTTAAAAGTTACAGCTTACTCATGGCTGATTCACAAGGCTAAATTTATTTCAGCCTGAAGATGTTGATAGTTCTTTTCTTCCAAATAATGCAATTGAGCTGTCACAGTAGTCTCAACTCTAAGGCACTAATTTGTATCCACTGTTATTGGAGAAAGCTTGGCGTTTAATGCATGAAAGCATAGATCGGTGAGGGGAAATAACAACTTATGCAGTACAAAATCATGCACATTATTGACTACGAAAAGCCAAGAGGATACAAATCAATGAACCTAGGTAATGGTATATTAGTATGTCCTGAGTGAAAGGATGTCCTGAAAGAAAATTGTTCAAACGTTTGTTACAAATTTCTTTTGTAATCAACATCCATTAAATGAAATAATTGTCAAATGAAACAACATATTTACAGTAACACAAACATACTAGCAAATTGACGCATTGCCAAGTGCCACTTGATAACATCAAACTTGAGTTTACACACGTATCCATAATATAAGCATCGCAGCTAAACCAATGTTTATTGGTCACATGATAGTATCTTGCACAAGTAATGGTATAAAAAATTTGTAGACAATACAATCGACACTACCATACCAGAATGGCTTTTCAGGCCTTATCATCATCATCATCCTCAATGTCCCAACTCAAATCCTCGTCGTCTTCCGCAACACTGAGCCTCTTACGTAGCTCCTCCTTTGGAGCAGAGCTTGAGCCATGAGCGCTCCCCTTCTTCTCTTCATGCTCCCCGAGATCCTCAATCTCGTCCCATTCGAGATCCTCCTCGGTCGCTGTTCGCTGTCTAGAAACCATGGAGTAGTCGCTATCCTTGCTTGAGTCACTTGTCTCATGCTTTGTCCCTTCTTTCGCTGCAGCATCGCCAGCGGTAGAATGTGGTTCCTCAGCAGCAGTTTTCTTGTCACTTGATTCTTCGACATTCAATTTGGATGCATCTTCCTTCTCCTCCTCCTTGTCCACTACAACCATAGAGCTACCGAAAACTTCCGGCTGCGGTAAATCGGCATTCTTCTGTTCCTTATCCAGAGCACCAGCCTCTTCAACTGCATTGACTCTGCCTTCTGCCTCCAGTTTCTCATTTTCTCTTTCCTGTACTTCAGGTTTCGGTTCTTCTTTGATCGGCGCTTGCTTGATCGCCTCCTCTTTTGCTGGCTCCTCCTCCTCGACCTCGTCATCCACCTCCCAGCTCAGATCCTCCTCTTCCTCCTGCGCGATGACCCGCTTGACGAGCTTGGCCCTGGCGTCCTCCTGCTGCTTGAGCTTGTGGACGCGGTAAAAGTACCTGGCCCAGAACACCTCGCCCTCCACGGCGTCGGGGACGAGCCTGTCCACCATCCCCTCCACGGCGTCGCTCTCGTAGCAGAGCGCCTCGATCTCGTCCTGCCTCTCCTGGAGGCTAAACCCCGCGCCCCAGGCCGCGAAGTCCTCGGCGTCCTCGGGATCGGCGGTGAAGGTGGCCGGATCCGACTGGAGCGCGCGGAGCTGCGCCTCGAAGCGGCTGTAGTACCTGAGGTGGCCCGAGGCGGGGCTGGGCTCGGAGTCGGCGTCGGAGGGCGCGGGCAGGGAGGCTGCGGAGGCGGCGGCGGTGGCGGCGACCTGGGCGATGGCGCCCTTGCCCTGGGCGACGATGTCGGCGAGGCCGTCGAGCGCGAGGGCCGAGGAGGGGAGGTCCCGGGCCGCCTGGGCGGCGGCCTCGCGGAGCGCGTCGGTCTCGCGGCGCAGGCCGGTGCTGAACTCGGCGAGGTCGCGGCGGTAGGCGTCGAGCACGGTCTCGGACTGGGAGGTGAGGGTCTTGAGCAGCCCGCCGAAGCCGCCCCACCCGCCCCCGTCGCCGGAGCCGGCGGGCGAGGAGGACCCCGCGGCGGCCTCCTCCGGCTCCGACGGCGGCGAGGCGGGGTCGGGCGCCGCGAGCGAGTTGAAGAGGAAATCCATGGCGGGCGGCGATTTGGATCCGGTTGGTCGGGGGGCCGTTGTCGTGGAATCGCGTGTGCTTTCTTCGTGGGGGAGTGGGGGTTGCTTTCGCTTGCGGGTGGGCCCGCGGGGAGGCGATGGTCCCACTTGCGGCTTGTGTGCTGTGCACGGGAGGGATGTCTTGGGCTGGCCTGCACGAATGTGGTTCCGTTTCGTGCATCGCAGGTTCTCCCGAATGGCACGCATGCACGTGCAGTTTCGGGCTTTCAAGTTTATACGAGCCTGCGAATCAACCTATGGTTGAGTTGGTTAGGTGGACAGTGGTATTCTCAACCCATTAGGGTTTAAATCCTGGTGCTCGCATTATTCCTGAATTTATTTCAGGATTTCCGGCGATGCGCTTTCAGTGGGAGGAGACGTTTCCGTCGACGACGAGGCGCCTACGGTGACTTCGTAAATCTCAAGATGATATGTCGGCTCAGTCTCTCGGAGGTGCTCATAGGGGTAGGGTGTGCGTGTGTGCGTTCATAGGGATGAGTGTATGCACGTGTATATGAGCGCTTGTGTCTGTACTGATGCTCAAAAAAAAAGTTTATACGAGCCTACACATTTCATCGAAGAACAATAATGAAAAGTTTAAGACCAAAACACTTGAACGTGTCCAATGGGATGAGATAAAAGCATCTCTAGTGGATCCGGTATTACTGTCGTCCTGCAAATTTCGTTTACAGTATCCGCAAACAAAATTTGCGGGACGACGGACGGATCGGCAAAATAGATCATGCAAATTTGGTCGGATTTTCTTACTTGATTTGAAACATCTAATTCACGCTATAGACATCATTGTAGTTCCACAAGCATAGTTAATCACATACAAAGCAAATTAAACTACTAGATAAATAGTTCCGCACTAGCACGTCATTTGATAGATAGTTCAAACTTAAACTGCTAGACTAGATATAAAACTTAAACGACTAGTTGGATCACCAAAGTTTTACTCATCTTCATCCTCGCCATCATCGGAGCCGGAGCCGGACTTGCCCGTGCCGAGGTGATGCTCCATGAGGGAGTTGTAGAGCACTTGCGCGAGCTCCTACTCCTTTCGGAGTGCCGGCAGTCGCGCCGCTACGGCTTCGTCCCCAGTGGCGGCCGCCTCCCTTGACTCGAACCAAGCATGCTCGGTCGCTTGGCGGCGTTGCACCGCCGAATCAAAGATGCGGTGCAAGCAGTCAAAGTTCACCCATGTGCATGCTCCGGCGTTGCGGGACCGCGCGTCGCGGCAGCGCGCCTGCTCCTTGCGCCATTCTGGTACCGAAGGGCAGAGGGAGGAGCTCCCGGCCCCCTCGTCGTGGTCGCGCTTGTGAGGTGGCCTGCCTCCTCGGCCACCCCGGCCGACACCCACCGTTGACATGTTCGACAAGTTCGAGCGGGTAAATGCGCCGGAAATCGAGGCTGAAGTTCGCGTAATTTCTCACTGAATGAAAAGGAAACACGGTGAATGGGAATTGGGGAAAAGCCGGATGCGAATCCTAAATCGACCCAGAGCTGGCATATATACCGGTATCACTGGCGATTTACGGGCCTCCCATAAATGTTTTATGGACCAGATCCTCTTTGGCGGCCCTGCTCGGGCCAAAATTTTAGGCTGTCCCGTAAACCCGTCGAAAAAACGCATCTCGACGAGGTTATACAGGATCAACTAGAGATGCTCTAAGTCGTGGATCAAGGAGGTTCAAATCCCGGACTCCACCGACACTAGGGCTCCCGCCCCCTTTTACGTGTTTTTTCTAAGCTTGATTAGAGCTTGTATCTTGCTCAGAAGGACGAGGTGGCGACGGCTCTTTGAAGACATGATAAGGTTCTTTTCGTCTAACCCCCATCCCGACGGTGTGCTTAGTCATCGAATGGCGTCTGGAGGTGTTTCTTTGGTGTTTGTCTTCAATGGATCCGCAGTCTTCATTCATTCATCAACAATGGTTGTTGCTCTGGTGCATTAGTCATGTGGTGCCTTACCACGACGACTTATGAATGTCTACTACAATAAAGTTTGCTCGGTGTAAGGGCATATTTATCCCTAAGGTGTTTTGGTGATTGATGACAATGCTTTTGCGGACTAATCATGTGCCTTGAGTATTTCAGATGTTTCATCACTAGACACAAGATGGGTTTTTTGTCCCCCTCGAAGACTATTGAAGACGGCGTTTGTCTACGTTTCTTTTCCGTGGATTTGAGTCGTAGGAAAGCCGTACTATTAAGAGGGGGTCCGCTTTGGTAAGGCTAGGGTGGAATCAACATGTACACATCCTTTTCACACCCTATGAGCCTTCCCGCTTCGATGGAGATTTCATTCCCTTTTTTATGAGTATGATTTGGTCCCAGCGGTAGTACCGTGGTGCCCAGCGGTAGTACCGCCTGTGGGTCCTCAGCCGTAGTACCGCTGCGGTACCAGGCTCCTACCGCGTCGACTCGAGGGGGTCGCCTCTCGTGTCGGATTGTGCGGCACTATGCAGCGGCAGTAGAAGCGGTAGTACCGCTCGAGAGCGGTAGTACCGCCCTACCACCGCGGTAGTACCGCACTGGGTCTGACTCCTGCTCATACGCTAGCCCTCCCAGACTGCACGGCAGTACCGCGAGGGGGAGCGGTAGTACCGCTGGTCCCAGCGGTAGTACCGCTGCCCCCTGCGGTAGTACCGCCCTCTGCGGGGCTGTTTTGGGGGGTAACGATTGGATTGTTCCCCCCTCTTTAAAAGGGGGTCTTCTTCTCCAAAGTTGACTCACCTCTTCCCCCAAAGCTCCATTATTGCTCCAAGCTCCATTTTCGCCCGATCTCTCTCCCTAGACAATCAAACTAGTTGATTTGCTCGGGATTGGTTGAGAAGGCCCCGATCTACACTTCCACCAAGAGAAATTTGATTCCCCCATTAATCCCTAGCAGATCTTGTTACTCTTGGGTGTTTGAGCACCCTAGATGGTTGAGGTCACCACGGAGCCATAGTCCATTGTGGTGAAGCTTCGTGGTGTCGTTGGGAGCCTCCAATTAGGTTGTGGAGATTGCCCCAACCTTGTTTGTAAAGGTTTGGTCGCCGCCTCCAAGGGCACCAATAGTGGAATCACGACATCTCGCATTGTGTGAGGGCATGAGGAGAATACGGTGGCCCTAGTGGTTTCTTGGGGAGCATTGTGCCTCCAAACCGCTCCAACGGAGACGTACTTCCCCTCAAAGGGAAGGAACTTTGGTAACACATCCTCGTCTTCACCGGCTCCACTCTTGGTTATTTCATACCTTTACTTGTGCAAGCTTATATTGTGTTGCATCTCTTGCTTTCTTGTGTGCTTGTTGTTGTTGCATCATATAGGTTGCTCACCTAGTTGCATATCTAGACAACCTACTTTGATGCAAACTTTAAATTGATAGAGAAAATGCTAAAAATTGTTAGTTGCCTATTCACCCCCCTCTAGTCGACTATATCGATCCTTTCAATTGGTATCAGAGCCTCGTCTCTTTTAAGGACTTTATCGTTCGAAGAGTATGGTTGAAGTCGTAGACGGTGTGGAGGAGCACTCCGGTGCGAATCCGGCCTCGTCTACGGGTGATGGGGGAACCTCGGTCTCTCGTGAGGAATTCAATGTGGCCTTGGAGACATTGAAAACCTCCATGACGACCGAGGTTGAAAGCATGTTTAATAAATTCATTGAGGGGCTTAAACTATCCACCGCACCGTTGAAAGTGGGTGATCCCACTAACAAGGTGACGGATGCTAACTCCGACAAGGGGGATGCTACTAGTGAAAAAGCTCCTTCTTCTAGTGGTAAGAATGGCACCGGCATCTTTGCCCATGTGGAACCTCCACTTGTTTATGGTGGACCGATTCCCTGTACTCATTTGAATCATGTCGGTCCTCCCCCTAAGATTGTGAAAATGAGGACTTTGATTCTTGGGTTTATCGCTTTAAGCGTCATTTAAATCATGTGAATACTAATCTTTGGAGAATCATTGAAGAAGGTTTCTATTCGCATGACCCAAGCAACTTCACCCCTAGAGAAGCTGCGGATAATCAATTCAATGAGAATGCTCTCTTCATCATCCAAGATGCAATTCCACCCGAAGATCTCCCTCATCTTCGGCCCTTTGCCTTGGCCAAAGATGCATGGCTTTGTGTTGTCTCCCTCTATCGGGGAAGCGCAAGCATTCAACGCTCCAACTATGAAGTAGTGCAAGATGAAGCCATGAGTTTGCAATGAAAGAAGATGAAGAACCTCATGAGCTTTATCGGAGAGTAACCAAACTCGCGGTCTCACTCCGAGATCATGGGAGCAAGGACACGGATGACAATTGGATCAAGTGCAAATTCCTCAAGGCAATTATGCCTTACCACAATGCCATGTCCTTCATCATTCGTCAAAGGCCGGACTTCCACACTTTGTCCTCAAGTGAAGTGTTGGATGAGTTTGTGGCCATGAGCATCTTGGACAAGACCGCCGACAATGTGGTGCTACGTTCTCAAAGAGCAAAGAAGCCCAACCTTGCATTAAAGGCCAAGGTTAGTGTGGAAGAAGAGGACGAAGAAGAAGAAGAGGAGAGCAACCCCGAAGATACAAAGTATGCCTATCATGAACACATAGCTCTTGCTTCAAGGCAATTTTGGAGCAAGAAAAACTCAAGGCCCAACTTCAACAAGAACAACTCAAGTGGCACAAAGGGCAAGCAACGTGTGAGGACTTGCTATAATTGTGGCAATGTGAGCCATTTTGTTGCGGAGTGCCCGTATAAGAAGAGGGAATACAATGGTGGCAAGCTCATCCGAAAGGACAAAGCCAACTCTTTCCCAAACAAGAGCAACTTCACCAAGAAGACTCCTCCCAAAGCGTTGGTGGTACAAGAAGAGTACAATGAGGATGATGATGATGATGATGATGATGATGAGTTGGTTGCCATGGCCTCCGTTGCCATTGCGACAACTCCACGAGTGTCACTCTTCGACTCACCCAATGAGAGCATCACCGCCAAGTGCCTCATGGCT